CTTGCCAGGCAGGCGCTGTGCCGCTGAGCTAAATCCCCAGCCCCTAAGAATAGCCTTTTCATAAAGAACAGTTGAACGACCTCACCCTGATGTTTATATAGCCGGGTCAATGCTGTCCTTGCGCTGCAGCCTTGCAAAATTACGGGCAGGATGATGCCAGAGCTTGGTGCTGATGGGGCCTGGGGCTTGGCTCCTGGCAGGTAACCTGACTTTATGATCTGGCCACAAGGAAGGGTGGGTAAGATTATTGTTTCTGAAAACCCTCTAGCGTATGACTTGGAGTCAGGAAGACCTGGTTTCTAAACCTCAGCTTTCTTGTCTTTGGAGAGGAGCTAATACTTTTCCTTGGTAGGGTAAGTGTATGAGTGAATGGGCGCAGTTCTCTGGGTGGTGACTGTTATTAACTTAAAGTGCCCAGTGAAAAGGGTGACCTAGCAGAGGAGATTCAGAAGGAGCGTAACAAAATAAAATGAAGCGACCAGAGGTGGTCTGGAGTGGTCTTCGGGCAGCAGTGACAGGATGTGTATTGTGCATAGACGAACTTGTGGCCTCCAGAAAGCGTCCCACTTCTAGCTATCATCTTAAGTCAACCCCGTGTCGCAGGAGGTTACTCAGGGCTCATGTCACTGAATGTTTCTGATCTTGGTTCTCTGGCCTCGTGAACAAAGTGGGATTAGATCCACAAACTGACCATGACGGGACCCTCCCTCCTGAGACCGAACCAGAGCCGCCGGTCTGAAAGTCGCATCAGTCACACTGCTTGTGAGAGGATGCAAGCCAAGTGCCCCATCGGCATCCACTTGGAAACTGTCCTTGCTCCAGTCAGGGACTCTAGTCAGGTTGTTTCCCCCTGGGTTGCTTCTAGAAGCCCCCTCTTTCCTAATACTCTCTTTTCCTTTCCCCACAGTAGCTTTTGCCGGCCGCCCTGGGCAAGAGTTGGCCCCACTTGGGACTGATAACGACTTCACTGTATTGAACGGGGAAACTGTCCAGGTAAAACACCTTGCCCACCTGTCTTTATAGAACCCAGAGGCTGCAGATGTGCCTGATCAGGACAGGAGGAGGGTGTTCTCTGGGCATGCTCAGATTGCTGTTGCCTGACAGTCCTCAGTTGCCATGGCTATTGTGAGCAAAGCGCATCCATCAGAGCAGGCTGGGCGGGGTGGCCTCTGCGGAGTGCTGATCTAAGCAGGAAGTAATTGCAGCTGCCTGGTGGGAGCACTGGAGTCCGGCTAGTGGGGCAGCAAGAGCTGCCTTCCTTGGCAGGGTTCACCCACGTCACCCTGCTTCCCTTCCCTTCTCCATGTTATCCCGGTAACTCCAAGTGAAGCCCATTCCATTGCAGGACTGCCAGTCCCACCTCTGTGAGGTGTACTTAGGACTGCATCCTTTCTCCTTCCTTTTTCCCTCCTTTCCTTCCCCCTACTTTCTTTTTTTTGCCCAGATATTAAACTGAGAGCCTTAACACTGAACTACATCCCCAGCTCATTTTTTATTTTGAGACATGTTCTCATGAGTTGCACGGGCTGGGCTTGACCTTGCGATCCTCTTGCCTCAGCATTCCAGAGTGCCGGCATTACTGCTGTGTACACATTGCTCTTTTAATGTTTTTAATATCTAATATAACTACCTGACAAATTTTTTTAAAATACTAGCACACATCTGGAGTCATAGCTGCTTGGGAGGCTGAGGCAGGAGGTTTGCCTGGGTGATTTAGTGAGATCCTATCCCAAATTTAAAAAAAATTTTTTTTAAGAGCTGGGAATGTAGCTCAGTTGTAGAGTGACTGCCTAGCATGCAAAGGCCACTCCCCAGTACCGTACTGCTAAATAAATAAACAAGCAGTAAACAGTCTCCTTTTGTTTGTCTCTATCTATTTGCCTAAAGCCCTGTCCACTGCTCTTAGAGAAGACACAGATAACTAGGGCATCCAGGTCCTTTCCCTTTAGAGTTTACTTCTTTATGTTATATATTTATTTACCTTATATATATTTAGAAAGGCTGTATGTTTTGAGTGTATATAGATATAAAAATAGACTCTATGTAAAAGCTAATGTACTGTTCACCTGTCTGTACCTGTCTCTTTTTTTTTTTTTTTTTCTCCGGTACCGGGAACCA